ATCTCTCTCTCGTTCTTCCCACTCTTAGTTCTTTTTGGCTTTTTCCCTTTGTGAATCACTCCAGCTCAAACTTTTCCTGAACCTTGAGAGGAATGTTGTACATTCTTCTTTCTACAATTTTGTAGCATTTTGTAGTATCGCCTATAATTTTGCTATAATGAACCTTTAAATTGGTGGCTGACTTCCTGAATTTACTTCTATTATTATTTTTGTTTGTTTTCTTTGTACTATTGAAGAGACCTGGGCATTAATTTTTTTTAATGGTGCAAAATCCTTTTTGATCTTTTCTTATACAAAAACATGTCTGGGATTTTGCTCTTAGTGACTCCTCTAAAAGGAGGAGTTCACAGCTGCCTTCGTACTTTCACATTGTCATGATGAACTGGCAGCTTTTAGATCTGAGGCGCAATCCCCATAAAGAGAAACATTTTTCCCACATAGAAATTAGTCAAAAAGGAGAAGCTGAGAACTAATGATGGCAGGATATGAATACATTCACTTTAGTCCGCTCTTTAGTATCAGGACTGATGGATTCACCCACTCAAACATATTATTAAAAGGTAATATTGAACTTTTCAATGTTCTGGCAATGTACAAAGAACTCCAACTTCAGAAATGGACCCAATTAATATTAAACCTGCGAAAGGAAAGACTTGGTGTCCTCATTAAAATGACAAAAACCCTCATTTCAGAGAGCGGGAAATACATTTTGTAGGTAAGGTCCCTCAGTAGCATTATAGGCAATCACATTTTCTTTTGCTTGATGACAGGTCCAAAGCAAGGAGATTATTATCTGCTCCCACTAGGGTGCAGGCATCCATTGCTGCTCATCAGCATGCCCTTTCCCCCAGAACAGAAGCAATGTCTCCACCTCATTTTCTCAGAGGGAAAATATTTCCACATATAAACTGGAGAATCTGGCTCTAATCATTTTCCTAGATCTCTGCCCTTTTCCATGTAGCTCCACCTGACATGTAGACATGAGCATAATTACTAGCCTGTAGTATAAGAAGAAACAAGAAGAAAGTGAAATATCACTACGTGGACTGCCAGAGGGAAAACATGCAAACCAAAGCCGTAATAAATAACTGTCCAGCTATAGAGGAGTCACTTAATTTACGGAGCCTGTGTACCGTTCAGCTGAACTCCAGCTCAACGTGCTGTCCTTGGTACTGACCCAGCAAGCAGACCAAATAGTTCTTCCCCTGTTTGGCAGGTAGTTAATGTCCCCTTTTCTGTACAGTTTTACATATACAATTATCTTTACTTGTAGCCTATCCTTTTCCTGTTGTAGTCGTTAGGAACACTGACCGTCTAATAAAAAATATCCCGGCCACTGGAAGAGGTGTCAAAGATAGATACTATTTGGAGTACTGGGAATCCAAGGCTCTGCATAATGGCTTTCTCTTTAAAGATACAATGTCTGTGTGATTACAGCAAGAATTAAAATCAGTAATAAAAACAAACATGAAATGAATGTGTCATGCCAAATGTCTTTTATAAGTTTTAAAACTAAAATGTAAAATTTAAAACAGCCACATCAAGATCATTGCATGGCCAGCCACAGAAAACAAATGTGGACACTGAGAACATCTCAACACTACCAAAGGATATTTCTAACCAGAATCCTCCATATTATATTGCCACTCTCTTCTCTGAATAGGCAATCTGATCACAGCAGCCTTGTAGGTACAATAGTACCTAATAGTTTTAGGAAAAACATCATGTTCAAGGCATTTGAATTAAACCCAGAGGCTCCCTGAAGGAAGCTTTCTTTTACAAGTAGGTAATGTTTAAAAGCCTCAGACTATGGCTTTCCTTTATATATTTGTCTTAGTCGGTCTTGTGTTTTCATAAAGGAATACCTGAGGATGGATGACTTATAAAGAAAAAAAGTCATTTTGGCTGAGAATTCGGAAGGCTGGAAAGTTCACAATTGGGTATCTGTATCTGGTAACAACCTCAAGCTGCTTCCACTCATGGCACAAACCTTCAATTTGTCTAAAACACAGTATCTGTGTAGCACAATGAGGCAAAGTGCAATACAATGAGGTATGTCTGGATACCAGATGAATACCCTTATCTGTAATGCTTGGGACCAGAAGTGTTTTGGATTTGGGATTTTTTTTTTTCAGATTTTTTACTATTTGCATTCATTATATTTACCAAATGAGCATCCCTAATCTGAAAATTTGAAATTTGAAATGAGCACCTCCTTTGAGCATGACCCCTGAGTGTCTCTTGTTGGTGCTCAAAAAGTTTCAGATTTTGGAGCCTTTCAGATTTCAGATTTTGGGGATTAGTGATTGTCAACTTGAATATACATATTTACACATACATACTTAAATGCATTGAAGCTATTGTTATTTTGAAAAGTCACATGATCTAACTCAATTAAAAATAAGAAAAATAAAAATTGTTATTTTACCTTCAATTATTCATTCTCTGATGTGCTTCCTTTTTTTACATAGATCCAGATTTCTGACCTGTATCATTTTCTTTCTCTCTGAAGAACTTCTTTTAACATTTCTTACCAGGCAGGTCTACTAGCAACAAATTACCTCAATTTTTGTTTGCCTGAAAAAATCTTTATTTCTTCTTTACATTTGAAGAATAATTTTAATTATTATTATTATTATTAAAATTAATAATTTTAATTTTATTATTATTATTATTCAGGGTACAGAATTCTAAGCTGTTGGATTTTTTTTTCTCTTAACTCTTTAAATATTTTTATTCCCCTCTCAAGAGTCACATGTAGTGTTTATCTTTATTCCTCTATAGGTAAGGTATTTTAACTCTCTTCCTCCTTTCATGATTTTTTCTTTATTTTGATTTTCTGAAGTTTGAATATGATATGCCAAGGTATAGTTGTTTTTGCATTTATCCTGCCTAGTGATTGTTGACCTTCCTGGATCTGTGGTTTAGTATACTAAAGTTAATTTGGGGAAATTCTCAGTTATCATAGCTTCTGTTCCTTTCTCTCTTTCTTCTGCTTCTGGATATTTTCAGTATAGATGTTTATGCCTCTTAGCTGTTCCACAGTTCTTGGATATTCTGTTATGTGATTTTTTTTAGTCTTTCTTCTCTTTGCTTTTCCTGTGGTCTGAATGATTGTGTCCCCCCCGCCTCACCAAAGTCATATATTGAAACCTAATCAGCCATGTGAGACTATTAGGAGGTAGGGCCTTTGGGTGGCGATTAGACCTTGCCCTCATGAATGGGATTAGTATTCTGTTTGCCCCTTCCTGATGTGAGAACACAGCTAGAAGGCACCATTAATGAAGTAGGAAACAGTCTCTCACCAGACACCAAAACCACTGGCACCTTGATCTTGGACTTCTCAGCCTACAGAACTGTGATAAAAATTTCTGTTGTCATAAGCTACCAAATTTATGGTATTTTATTATAGAAGCCCAAGTGAACTAAGTCAGGTTTTCAGTTTTGGAAGTTTCTACTGTCATATCCTCAACTCGGAGATTCTTTCTTCAACCATGTCAAGTCTACTAATGACCCATCAAAGATATTCTTCATTTCTATTAGTAGTTTTGATGTCTAGTACTTCTCTTTGATTCTTTCTTAGAATTTCCATCTCTCTATTTGTATTATCCATCTGCTCTTGCATGTTGTATAATTTTCCATTAAAGCCCTTTTCATATTAATCACAGGTTTTTTTTAATTCTCAATTTGATAATTCCAATATCCCTGCCATATCTGAGCCTGATTAGATGTTTGCTCTATCTCTCCAAACTATGTTTTTTGCCACTCGTAATTTTTTGTTATCCTATAAATAGGCCTTTAGTGGTGTGGGGGGGGAGGGAATTGCTCTCTAGTTCTATGAATAAGTCTCAGTCTTGTGGTGAACCTGAGCCCCTGGACTGTGACCATCACCAGTGCTTCTTAATTTTGCATCCCCCTCCCCACCTTAACTGGGACAAGATAGTTAGACGGGGGTGGGGTTAGGTATTTTGGATATTTCCCTTTTTTCCACCAGGTCTGTTAGGCTCTTCTAAAACTCAAACAGGTTGGGCTTTGATAAAATAGTTCATCTAGAGGGCAGGCCTTATAAGGAATAGAACATGCTGCCATTTCAAATATCAAAATGGTTCCTTTTCTTTTCCCTCTCCCTGCCAGAAGCTTGAGGAGATTTTCCTCTGATAACACTAAGAGGCCCTCTTAGATATTCTGGAGATAAGACTCAAAAAAGTGTGAGGGATCCCCTATGACTGCGTACCCCTGGAGTTTTTAACTCACATGCATGTCCTCCAAGCTGAGCCTGCAACAATTCATCAATTACATTTCCAGTTTTCCTACTAGCCGCTGGTTCCCACAGTGGTTTCTGAGCCTTGGTTTGAGGTCCCACATGTTGTGATTTTCTGTATTCATCTGTTTGTGTCTCTAGTTTGGAGGGCAGCAGTTTACCCTGTGACCTCACTTCTCTGACAAATAAGAGTTGTTGATTTTTCAGTCTGTTCAGCTTTTTACTTGCTGTAACAAAGTGGAACTTCTCTAAGGTCCTTATATACTGGAACAGAAACGGAAAATCTTGTGTCTTAATTGTTACATTTGCCTTTACTCTGTAGGACTAGTCAATGCTACATTCTTTAAAAACATCTGTCAGCTAAATTATTATGTAGGCAGGTGTCAGTGTAAGCAATTAATCCTATATTTTATTATCACATAAAATACAGCTCTTATCATTTGCTGTATTTCAAATAAAAGTAATCAATACCACCTAGACATATCTTAGTTATATTTGGGGTAGAGAATATGAACGATGATAAGAACTTTTGTGTGTTGAAATCCTGATTCATTTAGAAACATGGGTCTGTGTGCTTTTGTGTCCATCTCTTATTGCCATGACCAACTCAGACCTAAAATTCTTCATCAAGTTAATCAAGTTGACACATGTTAATTTAAAGTACCAACTTTACATGGTACTTAGAAGAACCACAAAAGAACGTGGAAACATAGTTTAATATTTGACATTGATTATTTAGCCTTAGTGTCACAGGCAGAAGCTCTGAAGGAAGAAAACGACAGCCTCCGTTGGCAGCTCGATGCCTACCGGAATGAAGTAGAACTGCTCAAACAAGAACAAGGCAAAGCCAACAAAGAAGATGACCCAAACAAAGACCAGCAGCTGAAGCTCCTGCAGCAAGCCCTGCAAGGAATGCAGCAGGTAAAGGCATCTGGGTTTTCTGAGCTCCTTGCCGATATGAAGGTCCCTGCAAACAAATAAAGTAGCCAACATGTTATTCTTCTTGGTGTTATGTTCTCTGGCATGGCTAAGAAGGAAATTATGTGTTATATTTAGTGAAATACTCTAGTTTAATACGAAGATAGAAATTTTTGAATAATCAACTTTCATTGAAAAATATTTGACATCAAAACTATACTAAACATAATCAGATTTTTTTTTCTTTATGCTTCAGAAGGTAGTTGAGGATCTAGACAGGGTCTCTGGGTCTTTATGAAGATCCTTAATTATTTAGATATGAAAATGTACTCATATGTCAATATCTAGCTGATAGAAGGCCAAGTAATACAGCCTTTTGGTAGGAGTGGTAGGGTAATATTACCCTTGATTTGTGTAAAATTAAGGACATGATGGGTTTTTAAGCAGCAATGCTTTGGGCACATGTTACATATTTGTTTTTATTTTGTTGGGTTTTTTGGTATTATCAGTCATTTATGTGAATGAGTTTGCACATAATTCCAAGTATCAAAATTAAAGTAAATCCGTGTATCTAACTGCAGCTGCCTTCAGATACAACATTGTTTAATAGATGCTCGACATCGAGAAGGTTTATGTTAACATCACCACTGTGAGCCTACAGTTTAAAAGATACCAACATCTGCTTTTATTATAGTAAAAGATTAGTGCTTCTGAGTCCGACTACTATCCTCTGTCATACTAGGCGACCAACTATTTTCCTTACAACTTAAATTGTGCAATAATTCTTTAACTATATGCCTTGGAATCAGCTAGGGCAAAGCTAATTGCTGGTGCGAAATTATAAATTATGAACAGGGAGCCTCTTCTGGCACTAGGAGCCCCATGTTCTTACTTCTGCCACCATTATCCTCCTGTATGACAAGTCATATCACATTAATATTCACCTTTCCTATTAGCAAAATGTGTGAAGTAAGGTTTACCTTTTTTTACTGTCATCGTGGAGCTTAATTAGAACATGTAAATTATGTCAGAGATCTTTCTACCAAAAAAATTCATCTCCTCAGCTAGCCTTCAAAGAATTTTGACAATATGGATTGTATCATTTTTCAGTCCTTGCAGAGGTCTTTTGCAAGCCTGGGAAGCCTGGGAAAGGCGTGACTATGGAAACATTTGTTGCTGTTGTTGTTTTTCATGTGTTACCTTGATTTTGAAAATATTTCACAAGAGGACAGTTCTGCTACTTAAACGCAATTTCAAAGTGATGAACTTTTTCTGCATTTCATCACTTCAAAGATCTCAGTGAGAATGAGGTCTCAGCCTCCCTCAAAATTAATTTCACTCATGTCAATTATTTTTTACTGGAAAAAATAGCCTTGTAAACAATGATAATTTTTTTTTCCATTTTATCCTAAAACATCTATACTACGATATGGTAGTTAAGAATATGGACACTGTTGGTGGGACTGTTGTTGATAGTACAGCCTCTTTGGTAAGAAGTATGGAGAATCCTCAAAGAACTAAAAGTAGACCTTCCATTTGATCCTGCAATCCCATTACTAGGTATCTATTCAAAGGAAAAAAAGTCATTTTACCCTAAGGACATATACACTTAATGTTTATAGCAGCACAATTTATAATTGCAAAGATGTTGAAACAACCCAAGTGCCCTTCACACACAAGTAGATTAATGAACTGTGGTATATGTATACCATGGAATACCATTCAGCCATAAAAAGATGGAGATTTTGTATCCTTTGTTACAACTTGGATGAGTTTGGAGAACACTCTACTAAGTATCAAAAGAATGGAAAACAAGCATCAAATGTACTCAATACTAATTTGAAACTTGTAGATTAACAACAACCTTCACACAAGAGAGAAAAACTCAATTAAATTCAAGAAGGGGAGAGGGAGGTTGGCAGGTTCGTTATCAGCAGGTACAAGGTGCCAGTATATGGCACACTTCCTGAGTGGAGGACACAACTACAACCAGGACTTTACCTTACAAACGCAAACAATGTAACCTAACTGCATGCACCCTCATATTAATCTGAAATAAAATAAAAAAGGAATATGTACTCTGAGATTACTAAAGAAAATAAAAAAGGAATATGTCCTCGGACCTGGTTTTAAATCCCAGCTCTGCCACTTACTATCTGAATGGGCTTGGGGAAGCCACTTTTAACGTCTTTAAGCCTGAGGGATCATAGTATCATAGGGTTATTGGGAAGCTTAGATGAGATCATGCATATAAAACCCTTAGCACAATGCTTAGTACATATTAGGCACTCAATGAGTAGTACTGATAATAATGATAAATACAGCTCTCTGCCTACTGATATGGAAACTAATGTATGTAAAATTTGTTACATATGAAAATTTACTAGTTTCCTCAGAAATTGAACTTGGCTTACCAAATGGCTATTTGTGAGACTACTTAACAACATGAAGTTCACTTCTACGCAGCACTTAGGATATTAGCCACACAGTATTAACTGCACACTTCCCTTACCCCTGTCCACAATAGGGAAGAAGTTAAGTGACTGGATGAATTAGTTTCTCAGGCCCTTTGTAAAATGTGAACAAGTTCAAGGGATGTTCATAACAGCCAGATAAAATAACTTAAAGTGAGAAATATCTTGATTGTCATGTTCTCTGCATGGAAAAATGATTTTGTGTGCTGAGAGAGACAGGCTCACCTGATCTCTAACTGAGCCAGTGATTGAGTGAAGCGCAGCTTCTTAGTTGGTGACATGTCTTTTGTCTTTTTTGTAGCATCTGCTCAAAGTCCAAGAGGAATACAAAAGGAAAGAAGCTGAACTTGAAAAAATCAAAGATGATAAGTTGCAGGTGGAAAAAATGTTGGAAAGTCTTAAAGAAAAGGTATTCGACCCTTAAGTGAACTTTTTCCCTTGACCCTTTACCCACTTTTCAGTGACAAAATTCTCTGGGAGTTCCTGTGGTAGGTATCAATGTTTGGCTGATTAGGGATTAAAAGCCCTTCTCTGAGGTATTAAGGGCCCCACTTTTGGTATGAGTCCTTGGCATTTCCGAGGATTCTGGAAAGTATACATTTTGAGGACTAAGAGGCCAGTTCATCCTTCAAATTCCTCAGTCTTCCCTCTTGGAGGAGACCAAAGTGTACACCTCTACCCTGCTTCATGTTGTCAAGCAAATAGCAATACAGAAAACCCATGTGACTCAAGGTAACTAAGCATTTTGTTAAAGAAAGAAACACAAGGGCAGCGCCTGTGGCTCAGTGAGTAGGGCGCCGGCCCTATAATACCAAGGGTGGCGGGTTCCAACCTGGTCCCAGCCAAACTGCAACAACAACAAAAAAATAGCTGGGCCTTGTGGCAGGTGCCTGTAGTCTCAGCTACTCGGGAGGCTGAGGCAAGAGAATTGCCTAAGCCTAAAAGCTGGAGGTTGCTGTGAGCTGTGATGCCACAGCACTCTACCAAGGGCAACAAAGTGAGACTCTGTCTCTAAAAAAAAAAAAAAGAAGAAAGAAAAGAAAGAAAGAAAGAAGCACAAGTGCACCTAGAATATTGACATCTCATTGCAGATACTCCATCTAGTGTAATAATGAGCAGCTGGAAGTAAGAGTAATAGCCAACACCTAAAGGAGGGAAACCTTAGGTAGAAACAAGGAGACACAGTATTCTAAAAGTAGACACTAGCAACAGGGAAGTCAAGATGGAAGGTTGTCAAGTGAAAGCCCTCAGTAATAAGAACCACCAGTGAGGACCTCTGAGAGCATCTGCTAACATCCAGATGGAAACCATGAATCAGGTGTCTCGTCTGTTTAAGGTGCATAAAGTCTACTGTATGGGGTCATCTTTGTCATACCTCTCCAATCTCCTTGATGCGTGGACATTCAGCTGAAGTTGTACTCCAAAAAGAAAGGCCCATTGACCAGAACTGCCTGATCTTAACGTTTCTGAAGGAAGAGAATATTAGAAGCTTGGACCAAGAGTCAAAAATCAATAACGATAGTTCCTCGAGAGCTCATGCTCTTACCTTCTGCATTCAGCTGAGGAAGATGCAATGCATAGAGGCCCTGTGTGTGTTTACCAAGGCAGTGCCTTCTCCAGAGTGCCATTAAGAACTGGCAAGCTTGGTGTAGTTGAAACATATGACTGAAAGTGTTTTCTTCTAGAGGCCATTTGCAATATACTTTTAATTCTTCCACTTCATAAAGCCAACTCACTTTCCAGTTTTGCGGATACTATTAAAGAAATGAGCACAATCCCAGAGAAATTCATTTATCAAGCGTTTAAAGGAAAAGTGCCAAAGCTGCTATACTAATCAGGACTCCCTCATGCTATCAGAGCTTCTAAAATGTCTCAGAGCTGTCACATAGCTCTGTTCTACTTCATACATAAGGTGGAGTATGTAGACCTGGGGTTATGCTGGTGACTTTATCCTTAAGATCACTCTTTTAGGACTGACATCACAAATTGACTTAAAGATATTTTTCATGTAAGCAGCTTTCTGCTTTGTAAAGTTTTTCATTTAAAGAAGCAAGAGGCCAAATGGCATAGAAGAAATGTACCATACTGTGCCTAATGATAAGTGTTTCTTATTCAAGAACTGAACAGACCATAAAATGGCAGCTAAAGGAAACGGAAAGAAATCCAACTGATAATCCAAAAAAAAGTCAGTCAAAATATGTTTTTCCTGTTATTTAAGCAAAGCTTCTTTTAGAGAAATTCGTGGCAGTTCATTATAAACTGATCTTCTCTGGGAAGTTGATTTGTGACCAAATATTTCAACCTGACACAATTAGGTTAGGAAGCAAAGTACCATCACATTAGACTGCAAAAATAATTTCAGGTTGAAAGGAAAGCAGTAAGTTTTGGTGAGAAGGGATCCTTTTTCTGTTTGGTTTTGTTTGGGTTTCTTGACAGTCAGCTCCACTGTGAGTGATTGTCAGTGTTTTGCAATATAACACTGTGACTATGTCTTATTACTGAAAGAACTAGCTCTTTGCATCTTCTAGTAAAATTCAAGGTGATAAGCATCCCTTCAGCATACAATCTAATGTTTTGAACGCCAGCTATAATAAAATTGAAGTCAGGTTTCAGTAAGGCTGCTGTTCTATTCAAGATGGCTAAAACTTCTCAGAATATCTTCACATCTTAAATCAACCCCAATCTGTTAAACTTTCACACTTGAGGAATGGCTTACTGGATCATTTGGTGTTTTAAAGGGGCTAGAAGCAGATGTGAAGCCTGTGGCTTAGAAGCAAGCCAGGAGTGTAAATCAAACTTGGCATAATGGTTACTGCCTGGATTGGATTCTAAGGGCCAAAGATTGAGTAGATCATCAAGAGAGGGCTCCCTTCTGACTATAGCCAGGAAGCCTGTAAATCCCCAAAACAACATGTCTTGCAGTATAGACCATTCATTTCATTCAGAGACAGCACCCTGGAAGCTTTGAAGACATTCTGAAAGAACAGGGAAGGAATCCTGTCTCTGCTGAGGGTTTGTAGAAGGGAAGAAGTAACAAAACACCTGAATCAGCCCTGATCTGCCCCTCAAGGAGCATTTCACCAGCATTTTGTTTTACAACCGTAAGAGACTGAAGCAGTGATTTCTTTTATTCCTTCTTCTGAAGGCTCTTCCTTCACATTTATAATACAGAAAAGATATTCTCAGTACCCAAAGAAAGAGGATCCATGAAAGATCTGGAGGTATTTTTTGTTTTGATTGCTGCTTATGGATTTCACCTGAGTTTCTCTCATGACACCTTCCTGCTACACTCAGAGAAAAGCTTTCAACAACAAAGAAGGCTGTTGACTAATAAGATTTTCGGTCATGGTCATTTCTTGCTGTAAAATTGAAAATATGCTGATAATGTCCTTACAGAAGGAAGAGAGAGAGAGAGTTGCTAGTCAATAGATAAAGGCTCTAATTTTTAATGTAAAAGCCAACATTTTGGGTGGTACCTGTGGCTCAAAGGAGTAGGGTGCCGGACCCATATGCTGGAGGTGGCGGGTTCAAACCCAGCCCCAGCCAAAAACTGCAAAAAAAAAAAAAAATAAGCCAACAGTTTGGCAGCACCGTAGCTCAGTAGGTAGGGCACTGGCCACATATACCAAGGCTGGTGGGTTTGAACCCAGCCTGGGCCAGCTAAAAACAACAATGACAACTGCAACAAAAAAAATAGCCAGGCATTGTGGTGGGCGCCTGTAGTCCCAGCTACTTAGGAGGTTGACACAAGACCAATTGTGACCAATTGCTTAAGCCCAAGAGTTTGAGGTTGCTGTGATCTGTGACACCATGGCACTCTCCTGAGGGTGACATATGACATAGGAAGACTCTATCTCAAAAAAAATAAATAAATACAAGCCAACAGTTTGAGTGGGTTGACTACATTGTAGAGTCTCCCTTCAGAAATGGGGCTTACCATTAAGAGAGTACGTACCTGAAATTTAAAAAAAGATGGTCTCTTTAACAGTGGATGACCTGGGATGAAATCCTGGCTCCACCACTTCCTGGCAATGTTTATCGAAGCTCATTTTCCTCATCAGTAGAATGGAGATAATATATATCTAACAGTGCCTGGTGTCTAGTTAGTAGGCAATAAATATTAGATCTGGTTCCCTTGATTATTTGGATAAAAGTCAAGAATGATAAAGGCAGAAAATAAAATTGGTGAAGATAAATGTGTAAATTGTCCTGTGTTTTGAAGCCATATGGGGAAGCTTTGGAATATCTGTGATGCTTTTTAAATTTATGCTATTTCCCTCCCATATTGAGCAATAATCCATATTGAGCAATAATTCAAATTGCTTTTATGGTCCTGTGTTAAAAAGTTACCTATTGTGTAGTTAATTGAACTGACCGGGGAAGCATGTCATTCTCACAGGAAGGCAATGCTTCTAGACTGTGTGCATCAAGCCAGGATAGCGACTACCCTGTTGAGAAGACCATGAACGGCAGCCCTATCAAATCTGAACGTGAAGCTCTGCTCGTGGGTAAGAAGCTAAAACACACATGCAATGCATTAGGATACAGCAGAGGAGGGGAAGGGTTTACCTAAGATTAATAAGCATACACCAAGCATTTATGAAGCATGGCAGTGCAAGAACTCAGAGTCCTGAAGATGAGGGGGTAGGAACAAGGACAAACATCCATAAAAATTATAACAGCAGCTCCCAGCCCTCTCTAAGCTCCTTGTAGCCACTGCCACATCAGCAATGTCGGTACAAGCACTATGCTAAGAGGGGTCAGCTGAGAAAGACATTGGAGACTTTTAAAGATCTCTATGCAAAGATAGCTAAGCCCTCTCACATCCACTCAGAGGACTAGTACAGACCCTGTTTGGCAAAGAGCTTTTCCAGATGAGCCTCTGGAGCAAGTGTGTGCCTCTGGAGTTTTTCCAGGTTCCTGACTGAGCTATTTTTACTCACAACACTTCTGACACCAAATAAGAGGGGTGTTTTTTTAATTTTACTTTCCAACACCAAATGCATGATGTCTTTTCCAGAACCACATCTCCAACTCTTAAGCACTAACTGGGTGTCCTACAACATAATTTAATTCAATTCTGATACTCCCCAAAGTTACCATTAGGTTCCGCAGGTGTGAAAGTTCAGTCCCATAAGACTTCCCTCACTTTACACATCATTCTCAAATATCAGGTCCCCAAGTTACCCACACATCTGTCCAGTTTGGCTACAAACTCAGGTGTTCCCCTCACCCCAGGTTCCATAATTTGCAAGAGAACTCACAGAATTCAGGAAAGTGCTTTACTGACTATAACCAGTTTACTATAAAGGATACAGTGGAAGAAATGAAGGGGGCAAGGTATTGGGATTGGATATGCAGGTTTCTGTATCCTCTCTGGGAGCACCACTCCCCCAGCTTCTTGACATGTTCACAATGGGAGGGTGCTCTAACCCTAACCCCTAAATTATTAGACAGTTTTATGGAGGGTTCATTATGTAGGCAAGATTGATTAAATCATTGGAATTAGTGATTATCTCACCTTCCAGTCCCTCTCCCCCTCCCTGATGTTGAGGAGGAGGCTGAAAGTTCCAACCCTCAAATTATGCCTCTGTCTCTCTGGTGGCTAGTCCCCATTCTAAAGCTATGGAGGGACCCCCAGCCACTAGTCATCTAATTAACATATAAAAAGATACTCTTATCACTGCAGAAATTCCACGTGTTTAGGAACCAGGGATAAAGACCAAATATTCGTATTTTTTATTCTATCACATTGTCAGATGAGTCAGGAAACTGTGGTATGCCGGACACAGGTAGGTTCTGACGAGATCATTGCCAGAATTACTCTCTCTATATAAAAATTCATTCCAAGGGGCAAGATGGCACAAATGATTAAAGAATCAAACAGACCTGGCTTCCCATCTTTACCCCACCATTTCTTTTCTGAGCCTCAGTTTCTCCATCTGCAAAATGGGCATAATGTTATTACTTACCTCAAAAGACAACTGTACATATTAAATAAAATAACCCATCTAAATCACTTAGCACAGTGCCTGGGACACAGTAAGCCTCCATAAATGGAAAATATTTTGCCTTTACAGCACTACTTGCAAATGCTTGTTGACTTCAGATTCCATTTGGAGAACAGTGGCAAACTGAGGTTCTAAAATATTTAAGAGGGGCTAATTATTTAAGCGGGGCTGGTCTTAGGCCACAGCAGATAATCTCAGCTGCCTTCTAGAAAGCTGAGCCAACAGTGGCCCACCCCATCTTATCCTCCACACTGACTGGTTTCTGCATATTTTTAAGATATATCTGCCTCCTTTGGTAATGGATATTATACTCAGATTTAACACTTTGATATGTTAATAAAGATGCACGGGGGATCTGCCATTGAGTCTTCAAGAAAAGTGACAACTTATTACAACTTATTAACGTTTTCCAACTCAAAGTTCTTAACAAATCGGCATGGCAACAGGGAGACCTGTCAGAGAAGTGCTGAGGGTAGAAGGATGCCTCTGTAAATGTATAGGAAAAAAAGATGCTTAAAATAAGTGTTTCTTCTTTTGTTTTTTGAAAAAGGTAGTCTTAAGCTGGCAGAGAAGAAGGAAAATCTGGTTTTTAAATCAGTTCCACAGGTTTGAACCCACAAAATCTGCTTAGTGTTTTAAAAAAACTATGGACTTATTTCTTGGCATTTGATAGCCTTTTTTGGCCAGAACATCTAGAATTTCTTTGAATGATGACTGTCTTCTTCAGAATTTAAATTTCTCAACTAGAAAAAGTGTTAAAAATTCGATTTACCTAGTCACTTAAGAATAAAGTAGTGTTATAAGTAATAGCACCCCTTTTGAACAGATTTTTCATGCCCCCCAACCTAGAACTTACTGAACTTTAAGCTACAATTTAAACTTGTGCTAGTCTTTGTCAGTCTCTTAAAGGGGCAGATAAGTTGTAGTTTATGAACCAAATCAAATTTTGCTTTTATTTCCCAGCAGTTGTCAGCAAACTCAATTCTCAGTCTAGTTGATGTATCTAAGATCTTATGTAAGGAGATAAACTCAAGAAAATTTAAAGAAAATGTAGTACATACATTTATTTTCCACCTGTTGCCAGAGAAATAAGTATTAGAACAATGAACCTGCTGGTCAGAACAATGGAGGCAGTGTGTGAAGCTGCCAGTCACCCCAGAGTCAGGCTGAGTAGAAATCACATGCATTCCTGAAAGCTGTAAACTGCTGTAAGAATTGGGTTACACAAAGAGATTCAGGGCTCTAAACACAAAATGCTAGTGACCACTTGAGTCAGCCAAGAATTAAATGTTTGTCTTTTGTTTACAGAGCTACTCACAAAATAAAACCCAAACACAATCAACAGATGCTCCTGTGAGAGGCACTGGGTTAATCAGGCAAAATACATGATTTGTAGGTTTGCCCAGCAAGGCATTATTAATGCCTTAGAGGCTGAAGTTTAATTTAAAGGCCACGAAAAGGAGCTGCAAAAACCCAGCAGTCTAAATTCATTGTAAAATTCTAGAATTCAAATGATGTTTAGCCATTAGGAATGATAGAAGTGACTCTTCAAATACCAGCTTTTCTACGTGTGACATAGCACAGTGAGAGACAGTCTGTGGGTTCAAATACCAGCTCTGCCACTTACCAACTGTGTGACCTTGGGGAAGTTACTTAACCTTTCTGTGCCTCAGTGTCTTGTGAAATGGAGATGGGAATACTCCACATGGGGTTGTTACCAAAATTAAATTAATAAAATACATGTAAACTTATGGAAGTTTCTAGTATTATATTTATGCTCTTACTATTCACTGTCATGTCTCAAGGAATATAAAGCTCAGGTATAACCTCCATGATACTGTCTCTATAGGGATCATCTCTACATTCCTTCATGTTCACCCATTTGGAGCAAGCATAGAATACATCTGTTCCTACTTACACCGTCTTGATAATAAGGTACGTGAGAGCCTGAAACAGGGCTGCAGTGTTCTTTGCTTAAGTGCTGACTTAAGCAAAAATAGATCATTAGGAGGTTTCCCTGACCTGCTCTAGCTGTGTTATGGTGTAGAGCTTTCCCTTTGCTAATAAGATGACCATCTGTCCCAGTTTGCCCAGGACTGAATGATGTCCTATGACTTGACACTTTCAGTAAAATCAGGCAAACTTGAATGAGTTGGCCACCCTACTTCCAAAATACATCTTAGAAGAATTTTCCTCCTTTGTCTTAATTTATATACATAGTATAAGCTGCAAATTAACCAGTATCAGCTTTCTCACCCATCAAACTGTTTTTCTTGAGTTTTTAGCCATTAACAAATGTTAATTTAAAAAACATTTATTTTTAAAATCAGAAGTTTTACCCAATCCTCCTCTCCCACCATCAACACTGCCATTGTCTATTACAGAACGACCAAGGCAGGGCCAAAAAAACAAGAGAAATGGAGCAATAAACTAACAGCCTCTGTAGCACAGGCTGAATATTTGCTCACAGCTGATCTCATGGGCCATTCCCTCCCTGAATGCTCTTCTTTGGGGGAACTCCCAAGGCATCTGGAGCAGGGATAAGGGCTAATTCCCTAGGACAGCAGTTCTCAACCTGTGGGTCGTGACCCCTTTGTAACAATGAAAATATATCGGGGCATAGGAAGGTTGAGAGCCACTGCCCTAGGAAGTCAAGCATGCCTCTTAGAGGCAGGAGGGGACTCTTGACTCCTCAGAATGACTCAACTCATGATATATTTTCTCAGAAGCATCATTCACGTAAGCATGCTCATGGATTATATTCCTTATTTCACAGGATCTGGGCCTTTTGAGAAGTGCCACTGAATGCCAATTCCTGACACGTGGCTGTCCAAACTTTTAAGCCATTTAATCATATATCCTTGTAACAAAGGCGCTGGCCCACTTGGGAATCTTATTGCTCTAACTACCTTCCAGCTCTATACATCCTCCTCAGTGGAATTGTTTTACTTCTACCTAGCACTCCCCCTCTTTTCCCTCTGGGAAGCGCTGCTATTCTGCAATTAAATCACCCATTTGACAGTAGAGGGGAGGATGGAATGTGAGTACCAGGACCAAGTAGTCAGTCTCAGTGGTATGAAAAATGAACCATGTGTCAGTCAAAACTGTTTCTTTCTTAATTTACAAAAATAAGACATATACATTATCTTTCAAATGTAAGCATTATAGAAATATGGTAAAGGAAAAGTAAAATTACATACAATCTCACTGCACAAGGATATTACTCTTAGCTTAGCATATGTTTCAAACTCTTTTCTCTACTTATGCTGTACCTATTTTATACGTATATATCTATAAACATTCTCTGTGTCTTTTGAAAAGGGAACTCGGCTCTATATTATACCCCGCAGTGTGCTTCCTTCACATGCCTGGCTATAGTCCGCTACCAGCACTGCGAAGAAGGCATGACTTCACTCCAGGCCCGGTTGCTCTTTAGCAGCTTCCTGCTGGAGTAGTGCCAGGGCCTCCCAAGGACAGCCTGCAGTGATACCAGCAGAACTTAGGCTCTAGCCTCAGGCACACTCAGTGTGGCAGCAACTCTGGGATTTTTCAAGGCTCCCTTGGTCCAATCAACCAAGCCTTGGTCCCCAGGTTCACAGTTAGGAACTAATGTAGAGAAGATCACCTAAAATGAGCTCTAAAGGAGTGCAGAGATTTGGTTTTTGTTTTTATGTTGAAGTGTATATGTGTGTGTGAGAGAGAGAGGGAGGGAGGGAGAGAAGTGGGAGAGACAAACAATGCACAGAAGTAAGAACACACAGCACGCCCTATTCCTGTGTGCTTTCCTTTGTGAACTAATGTGCATGTGAAGAATTCTGCCTTGGTGGCAGCCATTTCTGACTTCCTCCCCTCCCAAAGGACTTGGCAGCTTCAGTGGGTCTGTAAATAGTATCATCAGTACTGAGCAGCCATCATTGAGCTGGCTACAAACCCAAGCCTCTCCACACCACTGACTCCAACTCTTCCCAATAGCAAGCTGAGCAAACCCTATCTGGTGGTCACAGCAGAGGAAGGAACACTATTGTCAGGAAGCAACTTCGCCTACACACACAAAGACACAAGGAAACATACACACATACACTTCCACGTTCTAAAGTAGGCAACACAGGGAAAGATTAAGAAAGTAGAACTGATTCTGAATGAGATGTTCCCTCTGTCCTGCAGATCTGCACCAGTGATGTAGAATGTCTCATGGGTAGACTACAGCATACCTTCAAGCAAGAGATGACTGGAGTTGGAGCCAGCCTGGAGAAGAGATGGAAATTCTGTGGCTTCGAGGGCTTGAAATTGACCTAAATCTCTTTGCCTAACAATTTGGGATCCTGAAAATAATTGTGTGTGATAAGCTTAGAAAGTGATTTGTATTTTCAATGGTTTTCAAGTGGAAATTGCTTTAAATTTGTCAGTTCATTCCTGTAATGTGTTTTGAGTTAAAATAAGGATCCTGGAACAGCACCTCGAGCTACAGGGCCTAAAAAGAAATTGCCTCTAACCTCAAGTGCTGTAACTTCCTCCCTTTTCTGTCAATTGGTTGTTCTTAAGTATTGAAAAAGTCCTAAGACTAAAGAGTATTTGGAGTGTTTTTGGTGTCTGTACTACTGTTGTAGGCTTTGGTATTTTTTTTAAACACTGCTAACTGAAATGTTTTGATGATTTGTATGTGACTTGTGTTTCCAAACTTCTCTGTACATTAATGTTGCTACTGGTGAAAGAAATGAGAGCAGCCACGCTTGGTGCTTTTGTGTAACTGCCATTGTCTTTCCAATCCCCCGTAGACCAGTAAATAACACATCAGTGTCTTCTAGAAGGTGCTTGACCAGGTCCACCTTTTAAATGACAAAGCATGGATTGTGGCTTTTTGCAGAATTACTATAAAGCAAAAGGTGACAAATGTTTCAAAGTTATTTTGTCTAATATATCAGTTCTATTTCAACATTTTCCAGAATAAATCTAGTTGTATTCACAAAAAAACAAGTATCCAGTATGACTGGCATGTGTTCATGCTATTCTGAATCGCTTGTAAATAGTCAGCTTCTAAAGGAGGGCATGTTTAGTTTTCTATAAATTAAAACACTCATGCGTGGGCGTGCGCACACACATACACACATGCACACACATTAGCAGAGGGATTTATTTTAATATTATTTCCCCTCTGGCCTTCTTACGATCTGCTAGTCCCTTTTCTTCTGCTGTCAGTGTGTTGAATTGCAAAACGTGTACTGCTGTAAATACTATCCTTACTTCATGCTGAATGTTTGCAAAGAGTTGACGTAAGTATTAATAGAAATGAATAAATAATGGGTCAGAGTGTGTGAGGCTTCCTGCAAATAATTTAGTTCCACCTGGTGTGCTGACTGCTGGGGACACCTCCAGGTTTGTGGTGCCCATCAGCAGATTGCAATGGCAGAGTGTAAGCAGACCATTCAGGAAAAGGAAAAGATGAGGGTTTGGGGACAACATCCTGAGGCAGAGATGATCTTTTTCTTGTGCTGGTGGTGGTGGTGGGCGGGGGGGTGGTGGTAGAGAAGGCAGTGGGGCTTAGAACGCAAGCATGCCCTCTTCTTGAGTCTCAATTGAGGATAAGAGAATGTACTGGGTAAGCAAAGCCAGTGGAGAGTATTTCAGGAGGATGCATTGTAAATGAGATGTCAGTAGTGTTCAAAGTTGTATTTTTGAAAGATAAATATTCCTTTTTTACACCTCAGTTTGTGTTCTGTTTTTAATAACCTGCTCTCTAAGTGATCCTTTAGCAGATCATTGCAATTTTTTCCTCTGGGTTAGCAGGATGTTGGAAGAAGATGCTAAACCTGCCTTGACAGCTAGAAATAGGGTTCCACGGCAACCCGCTCATGCTGAAAATTGGCTCCCCCCCCCAAGTACCCTGCTGTGGCACCAGCAGGAAGCTAGGGTTATTTTCACACTGGCTTCCTCACTGATGCATCTCTGTCATCAATGCTACGGAAAGCTTTGATTCATCAGTCTCAGGGGCTCCTGGAATACTTTCTTTTAATAATATCCATGAAATCCAGGGAAACTTTCCATTTATCAGTTATTTCTTACTTAAATTAAAATTAAATCAAGGCTCGGCGCCTATAGCTCAACCGGCTAAGGCACCAGCCACGTACACCTAAGGTGGCGGGTTCGAATCCCCAGCCCGGACCCGCCAAACAACAATGATGGCTGCAACCAAAAAATAGCCGGGCGTTGTGGCGGGCGCCTGTGGTCCCAGCTACTTGGGAGGCGGAGGCAGGAGACTCGCTTGAGCCCAGGAGTTGGAGGTTGCTGTGAGCTGTAATGCCACGGCACTCTGCCCAGGGGGACAGCTTGAGGCTCTGTCTCAAAAAAAAAAAAAAAATTAAATCAAATTTTAAAGCAACAGCTGCCACATCTAAACACCTTGCCCTCCTTCACATGATCTACTTGTGTTATAAACAGTCTGTTCCGATCACTTTTGCCAGTCTGGTATAGGTGTATTCCTCCCAGCCTGCAGGATGTGTTGTGATGGTTAATTTTATGTATCAACTGAACGAGGCTATGGTGTCCAATTGCTTGGTCAAACACCAGTCCAGATGTTGCTGTGAAGGTATTTTTTAAACATGATTAATGTTTAAACCAGTAGACTTTGAGTAAAACATTATCTATCATAATGTGGGTGGGCCTCTTTTGATAAAAGTTGAAGGCCTTAAGAGAAAAGACTGAGGTACCCTGAGGAAGGAATTCTGCCTCCAGCCCTTTGGACTCAAAACTGCAACATCAACTCTTGCTAGAATTTATAGCCTGCCAGTGAGCCCTACAAGCCTCAAAACTGCCCGCTCTAACAATTGCAAGAGCCAGTTATTTAAAATAAATCTCCCTTGCTCATATGCATATGCATCATATTACACAATCAAACCACGGCACATACCATCTCTCACAATCCTTTCCAATCACCATAGAAATCTATTCATAAAGCTATTTTTTTCTTACAATTTTTCAGTGCTATTTAAGGGGTTCTGTTGTACCTACAGAACTTTGAAGTATTGGTATTTTGTTATGTTTATGAGATACAATAGTTAGATGTTTTTCCAGATAACAATGAATAGAAGCTTTCTTTGATTTTACAAATGGTTTTCATCTCCCTTCTTAACCCTATGACATCTCTAATTCTGAATTTTTAAGATGACTAAATTGCTTGTGAAACATCTTCAATGCAAATGAAAGAGATATTTCTTCAGAGAAAACTAAACACATTTGTGTTCAAGTTATATAGTGTTTTTTTTTAAATTGGACTCAAAATGTATGATTTTTACATAATGCAGAATAAATTGTATTAATTTTAAAAGGCAGCATAGACATGCAAGAACTTTTGACTCACCCCTATAGAACTGTGTAAGCCCTTTGGATTCTCAATGTCTTGGACAGTCCATCAAATAATTCCCAGCAATTGCTACCATCTGCTGGGCACCTATTGTATAGTCATGCTGCCCACAGCCACTTCCTGTCTGTGTGTCTCATGGACTCATTGAAAATATCAATTTTCTTATAGGCAAAATTAAGGAGAAATAGCACCCACTTCATAAAGTGGTTGGAGAGATTCAAAAAGACCATAGTATCTGAAAACTGCCCAGTTTTCTTACTGAGTTCCCAATAAAGAATTATGATTATGATACAGCTAAAATTAAAAATGGTTTTGTGTTCATACCTAGAATTGTGAGCTACATCATGTTGCTGGACCTCAAGAGAGGAAACTCAGTGGTTCAAACATATTCCAAACATTTACTCCTTTGCAGACACTCTGCCAGGCACTATGGCACACAAATGGAGCATAGCTGGCCCTGGCCTTCAAGGAGCTCGAAGGGCCACTGGAACACACTGAACTGAAGCCTTTCACCCAGTAGCCAAAACCATACAAGCTAAGTGCCAAAATATTCAGGGCTCACCAACCATGAGTGTTGTGGATAAAGTGATAATGATGTCTTGCTCTATCACTGTCTGTACCTACACCCTACCTCCAGCGGGAAAGTTCCATGAGTTCCATGACGGTGTGGTCCTAATATGTCTTGTTTACTGCCACATCCCTAGTACATTATATAATAGGTGCTCAGAAAAGGCTTGTTACTTGAACATTTGTGTAGCATTCTAAATTACATTTGTGTCCATTAATAATAAAACTTAACATTGATTAGTGATTCCCACTTACAAGGATATATATATGATCATTAATTTTTACTACACCATGAAAAATAGGTGGTATTATTCTCTATTCCAGCTAAGTGTTGGAGATGTAAAGTAACTTGCTTACATTTATTTTCTCTCTTTTTTGTTTTTAAGACAGAGTCTCATGTTGTCGCCCTTGGTAGAGTGCTGTGGTGTCATAGCTCACAGCAACCTCCAACTCTTGGGCTCAAGTGATTCTCTTGCCTCAGCCTCCTGAGTAGCTGGGACTACAGACACCTGCCACAATGCCTGGCTTTTTTTTTTTTTTTTTTTAGAGATGAGCTCTTGCTCTCGCTCAGGCTGGTCTTAAACCCATGAGCTCAGGAAATCCACCCACCGTGGTCTCCCAGAGTGCTAGGATTACAAGTGTGAGCCACTGCACCTGACCAACTTGCTTACATGTTTAAGAAGCAGAGATGAGATTTGAACCTTGGTCTCTCCAACTGTGTGAGCTCAAAACTTTCTTTATTATTTCTTTCCTCTGCTTCAGTATGTTATTTAACCCTCATATCAACCTAATTGATATTATTATAAACTGCTCATCATTCATTCATGTGGCATTATAGAGCACCTGATATGTGTCAGTCTTGGTCCTAGAAATTCAAAGGTGAACACAACACGACTCCTTCCCTCAAGAGCTTACACTCTGTTCAGGGAGCCTGCTAAATGACATAGTCATGGTGCCCCAGGTCACTTTCTAACACTGGCACTTCTCAGAGCCTTTTCGTTAATCTTACAGAGTGAAAATCTACATATATTTCCTTCAGTGGTTCATCTATGAAATTTTACTTGGCATAAAGTGCTCAGTTCTATGCCTAGCTTAATAAATAGCTATAATTATTATCCAACTAATAGTCATATTAACAATACTTTAATGACACCAGAGCTACATTTACAATAATGGGGATCCCTTAGGGCCACACATAACTTAAAAGAAGAATGGTACCTGCTAACTCAGAGAAATTCAGGAGGTTTTACTGAACAATGGCTCTATCAGAGGTAGGTAATGCCTGGCCCAAGCCAGACACAGGGAGGAAATTTCCTTCTGCAATCTTCTGATACAGTCTCAGTATCCTTCCAACTGCCCCCATCACAGACCAAATCCCATTAACAAGGAGGTCAAAGTGTCTTATCGTCCCTCCCTCATCCCAAGATACATAACATCATAGCAATCTTTCAGTTTCATCATAAGCTTTAAAGATCTCAACTTGTCTAAATTTTTTATCTAAGAGGAAAATTTTAAAGACATACTGAAGCCATTAATTACTAGGACAACAGAAGGAAGGAAACAAAATGGATTACCCACAGATATGAGCATTCAAGGCTGTAGAGTCTTTTGGAGATGATATCAGATGTTGGGTAGGAAATGGTATGC